CTTCAACGCATGAACAACTGTTGCGAGCTCTAAATCATGTGTAGGGTAGTTGACTTCATGCTTCCTCAACTTTCGAGAAGCATAGGCAATAACTCGACCTTATTGCATAAGCACACACCCTAAACATGTACCTGATGCATCACAGAACACATCGAAAGGCTTTTCAATGTTGGGTTGTGCTAGAACAGGAGCAGTGGTTAGCAAGGTTCGTAGAGTGTGAAAAGCAGCCTCACACTCTAGAGTCCAATTAAACTTTTCATCCTTCTAAAGTAATCTAGTCATGGGCTTAGCTATTTTGGAAAAATCAGGAATGAAACGACGATAATAGCCTGCTAGCCCTAGAAAACTCTGAACTTCATGAACTGAAGTCAGGGCCTTCCAATCCATTACCTCTTGTACTTTAGATGGGTCTACAGAGATTTCATCTTTAGATAATATATGACCCAAGAAAGGTACTTTCTTCATCTATAATTCACACTTGCTAAACTTTGCATACAATTGATGCTCTCTCAGCCTAGATAAGACAACTCTCAGATGCTCTGCATGATCTGCCTCATTCTCAGAGTAAATCAGGATATCATCGATAAACACAACCGTGAACTTGTCAAGCTCGGGCATGAACATTGAATTCATCAACTATATGAAATAGGCGGGAGCATTTGTCAGTCCAAAAGACATGACCAAATACTCATACAAGTCGTAACTAGTGGAGAAAGTTGTCTTAGTATATCCTCTGGCCTGATCTTAATCTGGTGGTAGCCTGATCTCAAATCAATCTTAGAGAATACCTTTACTCTTGCCAATTGATCAAACAAAATATCAATACGAGGCAAAGGATACTTATTCTTTATGGTTACAGAATTAAGTGGCCTATAGTCCACACATATCCGTAACAGCTCAGGCGAATGCCGAGAGATGGGTAAGGAGCAGAGGGACGCCCCATGTGGGCCATGCCAACTCTGTCACGAACGACGAACACGAACCCCATTCGGACATATCCGATAAAAACTCCTCAAACCTGTCACTCGAGTCATCAAGGTAACTCTACCAATCCCTTTTACTTTATTTTTTCTGATACATGATCATTCATTCATCCATTCTCATACACGCATTCACACATTCATTCATATAGTCATTCATTCATCCCATACATCCGAAGCATCGCATATGCAATTGATGCATCACAACGCTCCGTGTTGCATCACGAAGCGGCAGTTGCCTCATTCAACATGAGCAACGACCGACCGGGGTTCGAAGGCCGACCCTCAAAGGGCTCGAGGCCGCCTCGTATCAAATAGAGCAAGGCGAGAAAATGTAGATGAGCCCTAGCGGTCCTTGCCCAATCTGCTCAGAAGCAGACAGGGTCATCTCAACCTTCTTGTTCGATCCTAACCTCGAGCCATGCCCATAGAATTTCCATCGAGGGAAGGCCAGCGGGCCACCTGAGTTGGTCTCTGGAATGACCCAGGCATCTGTCGGGCCATGGGTTAAGGAGCAGTGGAATGCCACATGAGGGCTATGCCGACCCTGTCATGAACGATGGACCCGAATTCCACTCGAACGTGCCCGTTAGCGAGCTCACCGAGCGTGTCACTCGAGCCATTGAGGCAAATGATGTTAGCTCAACCTCTCCAGTTGCGGAAACCACGGATGGGGTAACACATGAAACTAGACCAACCCCTACCGTGCCCAACGGGGCTCAGGGGCTCAGGTCGCCCGACATCGACTCGGAAATCAACTGACCGCGTAGGTCACAGGCGAGACACACATGGGCAAAAACCTCGAATGGTGGAAACACAGGAGTCTGCGGCCCTAGAAAAGAGTACTAAGATATTCAGCCTCCAATCGACTCATCAGTCGAGCGTATGCTCGAGGGCTACACCCGCGGGTGCGCTCGCGCGCACCCACTGTCAAAATAAAAAATTCCCTCGCTGGCAAAACGAAAACCCCCCTAGACGATTCTACCTGAATCGCCTGGGGCTCGGGGGCTACACCTGCGCGTGCGCTCACGCGTACCCTTGTCAAAACAAAAATCCCCCAGACGATTCTACCGGGAGCTCCTGTCGGGTTCATAAACCCGGGGTCCCTCATGGACTTGCTTCACAGCAAAAAGCTTGGCCCAGTCAGACGACGTTGTGAACGACGCGCAAACTCTTGGGCCAGCCAAAAAACCTAATGATAGGCCAGAAGGGTGATCCAGTATCCGACCGGAAGGCCTGGCCAAGGAGGAACGGCGCTAGCTTCCGACTACGGCCCGCCTCTCCGACCGAAAGGCCCGGCCAAGGAGGAACGGCGCTCGCTTCCGACTTCGGCCCGCCTCTCCAACCAGAAGGCCCGGCCAAGGAGGAACGGCGCTCGCTTTCTGACTCCGGCCCACCTCTCCGAAACGGAAGGCCCGGCCAAGGATGGGGTGACACTCTCTTTCAACTCTGGCCCGCCTCTCCGACCGAGTACAACGAACCTCTACTTACAGCTCCTCTCCGACCGGCGTGGTCGAAGCTGACTGGGAAACGATCGAACGGGGACGCCTGCTCGGTAAGGACCCAAAGAATCAGGCGGAGCAAGTAAGGCGGGGCTCTCCAGTCAAACGCAATGCCGAGAACCATACCCTGCACACCTGTAGGACAGTATGTTGTCAGATCATGTCAGAAGGGTGCTATACAACCTTCCAGACGTGTTAGAACATGAACAGTGTTATGGGCACCGACATTTGTCCTATAGTATGGTAGGCGCCGACATTAGCCATACCAGAAGATCATGATGGAGCCTACCACATGCATCTGGGCATCAATAGTATTATGGGTGTCGACAAACCATCCTGTACCCGACAACATGGCCAACAAGACTAGGTAGCACACACTCTCTCTTTCTCTCACACTCTCTCTCTTGTAAAGCTATCCCCTTCATCTATAAAAAGGGATGCGCTCTCTCCAAAAGGAAGACGATTCCAACGAACAACAGATGGATCACTCCGATCCTCTCTGCTTGGCTCTAGAACTCTAAAGCCAAACAAAGCATACGTTCAAACACTTAGCGCATGTCGGAGCTCCCGTCACTCTTGGCCCTTTGGTCCGAAGTTCGACCTGACCTCTGATACCCCCCATCTTACTCCCTCTCGTTTGTAACCCCACAGGAAACTTCGAGCACATGGGCTCGAGGAATAAAGTCATCAACCGACTCAAACTGGACGTAGAGCATGTTGCCTGAACCAGTATAAACCTTGTGTCATTGAGTGCTATGCCACATCCGATCACAACGTACGACAAAACGATAAATATTTACTAGTTGGTCACTTTTCGCACCGACAAGATGTTTTCGAGGTATGTTGCAATTGTTGTATATCGATGTTGTAAAATTAGATCGGGATGTTGCACATGTTGTAATGGCTATACAAATATGTTTCAAGTGTATGTTTCATATGTTCTAGACGAATGTTGTAAGTCTTTTGTCTGGATGTTGCAAAAGTAGATTTAGATGTTGCATATATATGCATGTTGCAAGCATATTTATGTTTTAAGTGTTTTCGGGTGTTTCATACGTATGTTTACAAGTGTTTTGTCTGGATGTTGCATATGTTTGCAATGGTTTTTAAATGTTTTTCAGTCGTTTTCGTAAATGTTTCATCTGTCTTCTTTTGTATGCTGCAACTGTTGCACCTGGATGTTTCAAAAGTAAATCGGGTGTTATACATGGAATGCGCGTGGGAAGCAGCCGACGGCGTGGACGACGTTCGGGGTGGCGTGGGCGACGCCCAAGGCAGTGTCGGACGACTATTAGTGCGCTCTCTTGCGAGCCTGACGTGCTAGGCGTTCCTTAGCTCCCTGTACGGACAGCATCCGGACGCTAGCGTCTAGATCGGACGTCCGGACACTAGCAAGTCTTTTTTTTTCCTTACAACAATTCGCTTGTGCAGCCAGCTTCTTATATTTTGATTTCCTTTGTATCCATATATGTTCTTCTTTGAACTTTAGCTAGATCTGCAAATCTTAAAACTCGAAGCAACATATAGCAGCCGCCAACATCATTCTATTCATATCATGAAAACAAAGGGAATGGGCAGTCGGCTGGGCCCGGGCATCCAGCCGCTCGCCGTCGCCGGCCAGGCGCCTGGGCATCCAGTGCGCTGCAGCTGTCGGCTGCGCCGCTACGGCCTGGCGGCGGCGGAGAGCCTGGAGATCAAGAGAAGCGTTCCTGCTCCTTTGGGCTGGTTGGAAGTGCAGCGATTTTGGCCCAATGCCTAGGACCACTTCAAGTTATACAGACCTTAAAAAAAACGTTTACACATCAGACTGAAACTTGGTCCATCTGATCTGTAAAAATATCCCAGTCCTGGTCCCAAACATTCTTCACAAGTTCATTTGTAACCAAACTGCTCTTGTAGTCATGTTCCATTGGATTTCTTACCATGTAGAAGAAACCTTACAGCCATTTTCCCAATCTTGTAACAGTACGTAAAGCTTCTTCTTCCCTCCCGATCTCCATGTATTCCGTTCAATTTTTTGTGTATACGAATATATTTTTTTTTTTGCGATAAAAGAAAAATTATATTAGATAATAGCTAGTTATATCAACACGTTACAGGCACTCTGGATTACACAAAATATCCAAAAACTGATTTTCATCTCACGTGTCCGAATCTACTATACGAAAACAATGGATTTGTGAAGTTAGTTTTGAACATGTGTTGCAATTTTCTCAAATTTTCCCAAGTATTATGATTTTTACCGAACCCTTTACCGAATTTTATATTAAATTATACTAGCATATTGAATAATAAAATTTTGGTTATTCATTTCCTGAATTTATTAGGGTCCGACACAGATGAGAAAGCCTGTGCAAGGTTTTCCTGTTCTTTGTGGTAGTACTGGGCCCACACGCAGTGGCACACAGGTTGGCGAAGAGGAGAACAGAAAACAAGTGCGGCTTTCTTCATTAGCAGCGACAGGTAAAAAGTCAAAACGAACGGAGGTCTCCACGTTTCTTTTGCTCCCACGCCGGCAATGGCCGCCACCCCAGCCCACGCAGCAGCCGCCGCCGGCGGCGAAGCGGCGCTGTCCCACGGCCGAACTGGAGTCCGTCCGGGTCCGGCCCCATCTCGTCTCGGCTTCCTCGCCAAACCGTCCTCCCGGCGGGCCGCGATCTCTCTGCTGCCGGGGCCTCGCCGCGCGGCTCCGGCGGCGGCCGCGGCCAGGGAGAGGGTCGCGGAGGAGGAGGGGCCCGTGTGGGTGGAGCTGGAGCCCGTCACCAGCGAGCAGCAGCTGGACCGGGTCCTTGCGGACGCGCAGCAGCTCGACATCCCCATCGTCCTGCTCTGGTACCCCCCACTTTCCTGCGTTGGATTGGATTGTGTCTGTAGAGCGGCTGCGGTAACGTTGGCTCGTAATTTCTCCGGCAGGGAGATCATGGTCGTGTATGATTGCGTGGTTAGCAGATTTTGGTTGTTTGATTAGGCAGTCATTTCTGGAGTGCAAATTTAGCACCTTGGGCGAGTGAAAGAGGGACAACTTTGTCCATTTGCTCGTAGGTTCACTTATTTACATGGCCCGGTTTGGTGTCATTGCGGTTGAGGAATGGATTTCATCGGCGTATTGCATGGAATGATAAATGCATGACAGTGGCCTTTTCCTGAATCTACCTTTTTGTCTGTTCCTGATTTCCATTTCTATCTGCTTGTTTCTACTATATGAGCAGTAGAACTGCTATTTATGGCCGAGGGAAAAATATAAATGTTAGACCAAACTTCATTTGTTTTTTCTTCAGTGCATGAGTTGCAGCCTATGGTTAGATTATGCTCTCCTGTAGTATCTTTACCATGTAAATAAATAGCAGTGCCATTGTTGAATTTGATATTCATATGTCTCTCTCTTCACTCAAAACAAAAAGAAAACTCATATGTAGGATTCAAGGAAAATACTTCAACTATACATTTTTTTAACGTAGCAAGATGCGTGATCTGTATCAATTTCAACCAATCAACCATAGGTCCTTTATACTATAAAGAAATATGCTACCGATATGGAACTGTATTTTGAGTAATTTCTATAGTTTATGCACAAATTCATACTAGTCTGTGTTATGAAGGATGGCGAGTTGGTGCAGAAAATGTATATATCTGAAACCTAAGCTTGAGAAGTTGGCAGCAGAATACCATCCAAGGTTAGAGAGTTTTTAACCCCTAGATTGACAAGAAGTACAGTGGCTGTTTTTTTTTCTTGACAAATTGATGATCTCTGTTACAACATAATATGCAGAATCCGGTTCTACTGTATTGATGTGAATTGTGTTCCACAAAAGCTTGTAAACCGTGCTGGAGTAACAGTAAGTCTACCCTTGCACTGTATGTACACCCAATTATACAACTTTATGTCATTCGTAGATTTTTTTTTTTCCCACACGAGGAACCCCCATTTCCATTAATGCGTAACAGAAATACAGATGTTTTGAACATGAAGAGTAAGAAAGAGAGCAGAAGCATCCGACCAGCTAGATTAAAGCTAATTATACCATTCGTAGATGTATCTTTTTTTTCACCAGTAAGCTTCTAGAATTCCTTTCTTGTGCTTCTTTCCCTGTTGTGGTTGAAACTGGAAGCCTCAGCTTTATTGGCCCTGGAAACTTTGATGTCAGTTGCCGGCTTTGTGCAACTTGCACCTAAATGTTTCCTAGCCTTATCCTTCAGCATTGGTATTAGAGTACAATATCAAATATTCTCCCATGATGCATTTGGCCTCATCGTTAGCTTATCTGCAGCAACTACGTGTATACACAAGTGACAAACCGGATCCCCTAGTATATTTGTTAAATTAACACACACGCTAATGCCTCCTTTTGTCCAACTTGTGCAATCTGTACCGCGGGGCTCGAGCAGAAGATGCCTTCTATACAGGTACAACTGAAGCTTGTTCCCTTGTCCATGGTTTCTATCCCGCTACTGTCTATCCTGAGGACGATCCTTTGTCCTATGCAGCTGTGGAGCGACTCCCAGAAACAGGCGGAGGTGATCGGCGGGCACAAATCTTGGCTGGTGATTGATGACGTCCGGAGGATGATCGAGCAGGAGGAATGATCCGGCGTGTCTCTTAGCGCAGCGATCGTGTGCAGATGATGATATGCTCAAAGTCATAGATTGGGCCATACGCTTGGTCAGTCTCGTATCGACATATTAGGAATCATCCATGATCAGAGGTTTTGAAAATCATCGGTTCATCGTGCATAAACACTCAGGGTAGGACTCCCTGGTGTCAGAATCAGAAAGTGATGAAGGAAGGAATTGGGCTCCCAGTTGCTGCATGCATTCCTGCGATGTCCTTGATGTATCCATGTGTGTGTATTAACTGGAACCTGCTGTATCAGCAATAATACAATACGGCAAGACTTATTGCCTGTGTACTGACTGGCCTTGATATTAGCCACTGGATCTGGATGGTAGCAGTGTGGTTCCTAGTAGATTACTCATTCACCCATTCATCATCAGAATCGGATATAAAGATAGCTTAGTGAGTACTATCTTTGTATTAGGCTTTCCAAAATAACACTAGTCTTGTTTGCAAATAATACTAGCATGTACTAGCTTTGTTCTTGAATTATGAAGAGACAATCGGCTGGGAAGTGGCAGCAGGTTCCCCTGTTTGCTTGGTCTGCTCCTGCATATACTATTTTAATTATAATATATATACCATGTGCCTGCCCGAGATTGATGAGAAATATGTATCTTTTTCTCAACCACAAACAATGCGCAGTGCCTTTTCTTGCGCCGTGTTTTCTTAGCGCCATCGCAACCTCGCCACTTTCTTGTGTCTGTCAGTTTCGGTGTTAGTATTTTATAATCACAACGCATTAGGCAAAGTTAACCTCTCGATTGTCAAGCTCCCTCAGATATTATATCATTAATAATTATTGTCGTCGTCATCGTCCTTTCCTCGTTTGACTTGCCCGTCGATCGGAGTAGCAGAGATATATATGGATTTTTCATGGACCCACCTGTCAGACACAGCTCCGACAAGTAAGGAAAATAACACAACACAGAAACTTACCATCGGTAACATACGTTTTTTTTTTCTGAAAAGGAACAGCAACACATTGAAACAGAACAGAGAGAGATATAAACCATCTCTTTTTTAACCAGGAAAAAAGGAATATTTTTAAAAGATTTTGTCGATTTCCAAAATTGTCGCTGTATTCTTCAAGATGTGTACTGCTGCGTCATACTCATATATATACGTACACCTCATCTGCCTTTATGATCTGCAAGGTAGCGATAGAGGACGAGTGCCTGGCGCCTGACGGCCGGCCAGCACAAGCGCAATACGGCGCTTTGAGATTCGTGCAGCGGGGCATCCGACGCCTGGGAGCAGGTGGGGAGGCGGGCTACCGGTCTCCAGGAAGAAATGGCCACACGTCGCTTTCCGCCTCCGCCTCCGCTCCCTTCCTTTCCCATTCGTCTCGTCTCGTCTCGCTCTCGCCTGCCGCCTCGCCTCGCTCCGGCCGCAGCAGCCGCCTCCGCCCTTCCCTCCCTCCGGAAAATTCCCCAATCCACCCCCAAACCCTAAATAAATCCTCGATCGGCGCGTGCGGGAATCCAGCCACCGTCGGTTGGGACCGCGGCCGGCGGCTCCGTAGTGGATTGGAGGCGCTCGGTTCGCGGAGGCGAGGCTGCCTGTTTCATGCTGCTGCTACGGCGGCGGCGCCCGTTCTAGAGGTGAGATTGATTCTCGGCGGTGTCGCGTAGGTTCCCGATCGGTTCCTCGGGTAGGGGTAGGACTGCCATGCCGTGTTTGTATTTTTGTTTGGTTCCGTTTTATCTATCTATATCTATAATATCTTAGTTGGGCTAGGGAATGAATGTTTGGGTGTTTCGTCCGCGGATTAGGATGTTTTCCCATCAAGTTTTGTCCGGGAGTCTCCTGCAAGTTAGGTTTCCAGTGGCTTAGTGTTTTGGTTTGGTTCTTGTTTCTTCTGTCCAAGGTAACTTGATGCGCCAGCTCCCTGTACTTCCCTTAAAAGCGGTACTTATAAACCGGGTTCTTTTTAATACAATTAACGGAGGAACTTGGGATTCAAACTATTTCATGTGTTCTGTAATCATGATTTCTCATAAAGATGCATCGATCATTCTTCCAGTTCAATTTTCATGCATACCTTCGGATTACAACTCGACTCTAGACAAGCTTTGCAGAAAAAAAGACAGTACTGATCACCATCTGCTTACTGGTTTAGGATTGAACGAAACCAAGAAGGAAGGAAGGAGATTGGAACAGAGGCAGGCGCTTCGTCGATGGCTCCATCTCAAGCGGCAGCGGCTGGCCCCACCTTTGAGGACCTCGAACGCGACCTGCAGGCAGTTCTCATGGACCAAAACCACACGTCCCCCTCGGACGAGCTCAGCATGTTCCGCAGCGGCAGTGCTCCCCCAACAGTCGAGGGCTCACGCACGGCCATTGGCGCGCTCTTCTCTGGTCCGCCGCTTCCTGCCAACAACCTTGGTGGTAGCGGCAGCGGGGCTAGTGCTGTCCTTGACATGCTCACTGAGGAGGAGATACGGTCGCACCCAGCATATCTATCGTACTACTATTCTAATGAGCACCTCAACCCAAGGCTTCCACCACCAATGGTCTCCAAAGAGGACTGGCGTGCGGCGCAGCGGTTCCAGGCTGTGTCCGGAGGTATCGGGGATAGGAGGAGGAGACCTTCGGAGGTCGGGAGTGGAAACTCGCTGTTCTCGGTGCAGCCAGGCCGTGAGGTTGGTGGAGAGAAGGCGCTGCTGGGTGATAGAATGGGGAGGGGTGAAAGGAATGGGCTTGCACGGCAGCAGTCATCAGAGTGGCTTGGGAGAGGCGCCGATGGGCTCATCGGCTTGACAGATGTCAGTGGCCTTGGGTCTCGGCGCAAGAGCTTTGCTGATGCATTGCAGGTTTGGAGCATATTTCATCGTTGATTTTGATTTCATTTTGTTGCTGTAGTTACGTCTTCAGTAGAAGCACACATTGTTGTTGAATGGAATTATATTACCCATCTTCAGTATAAGCAAACATTTTATTTTTCCTCAGCGACTGCATAGTGAAATTCTCTTTTGAACCGTTTGGGACGGAATGCATATGTGAAATTAGCAGATTATTCACTTTGCCTGCAAATCATACTTCTAGTAACATTAAAATCCACCAGAGTTGTGTTCACTGCTGAACTTGATGGAGGTGATTGTATTTTTTTTTTTTTTTTGTGCCTGACATTATCATATGAAACTTCACGCACAGATATTTATAGGTTACTGCTACAATTTAGCACCACTATATCTATTACTGTGTTTTTCATTTTGTTTTGTTTTCTTATTCTCATCTGCAATTGTTTCAATGGCAGGAAAATATTAGCCATCCTGCTGCTACAGTTGGTCATCTTTCACGTTCTAATAGCCGTAATGCTCTTGAGGGCCCAACTCCAATCAGGTCATCTGATTCACCCAAGCCACAACTGCAGAATAGATCAGAATCCATGAATGGCCTGCGATCTGGATCCACTTCACCCAGTCTGGTCAGGGTCCAAAGTCTTGGTTCTTCAATGTCTCATACCTTTGCTTCTGCAGTAGGTTCATCTATCTCAAGAAGCACCACCCCTGACCCACAGCTGATACGGAGAACTCCAAGTCCTTGCCTTCCTCCAGTTGGAGTTCGGATGGGGAGTTCTGATAGAAAGGTTGAAGCTGCAGCTGTTGCTTCACTTAATCATGATGCTGCTGACATTGCGGCAACTCTGTCTAGCTTAAGCCTATCTGGAAATAGGATGTCGAATGTGGAAAATGATGTTCAGAATCATGTTTATCAGAACTTTGGTGACCAGGCAGATGTGCTGTTTAATGTACCAAAGGAACATAGGCAACTTTCACCACAAAATTTAACTCAAAATACCGATGAAGACTCGCTTAATGCCCCTGAATATGCAGTTTTTCCAAATGGGGGGAGTAACTTCAGTAATTTGCATGCTAGTAAGCTGACATCTCATAGCAATAGCAAGTTCCCTATGCAGTCACCACACGGTAATGCGAACAAGAAAGGATCTTTGATGAGCTCAGCTGGATCAGTTTCTCACTACCAGAACTTGAATGGTGATAGCCATGGCATTGATGTATCTGGATGGCATATGAAAACTCATGCAGGCGGTTTTACTTCATCCATGCTGAATAATCAACTGAATCCTGGTACCCTTAATTGCCTTCCCCATCTCTCTTCCTCTCCCCTTGCCTGTCTGTCGTTCACTCACTCACCTTTTGAACCATGTTTTCATGTCCAGATGGTGACTATGGCAATGTTCTTTCGAACCATGGGGATCGAGTTATCAGGGCCAACCAACAGAGACAATGTATGCACAATACTTGCAGGCAAACCCTGATTCCCCCCTTGGTGCTGCTGCAAGCCTGAGTCCTTTCCAAGGGAGGGGGTTTACTGGTTCAGGACACTTGGATAGTCCTGGATACCAAAAAGCTTACCTTGGGTCATTATTTGCCCAGCAAAAGCTACAGTATGGGATGCCATACCTGGGCAAGTCTGGTGCTCTTAATCAAAATATCTATGGCAATGATCCTGCATTTGGCATCGGAATGACTTATCTAACAAGCCCACCATCCAGTCCGTATATCTCATCTCCTCAAGGCCATGTCAGGCAAGGAGATCGACTGACTCGACTTCCAGCCATGGTGAGGAACACTGCTGGAGGATCCATGGGATCATGGAATTCAGAGAATGGTCTGATGGATAATGATTATGGGTCCTCCCTGCTGGAGGAATTCAAAACTAACAAAACCAGATCTTTTGAGCTGTTAGATATTGTAGGCCATGTGGTAGAGTTCAGGTACTATTTCCTTGGAATTCCAACAGAGTCAAGTTCATTTGTTTTGATATGAAGCTAATATGGTTCTCTCTTTGACCTTTCAGTTCGGATCAGTATGGGAGTCGCTTTATACAGCAGAAACTAGAAACTGCTTCTATTGAAGAGAAGAATATGATTTTTCCTGAGATACTTCCCCAGGCACGTACTTTGATGACTGATGTTTTCGGGAACTATGTTATACAGAAGGTGAGCAACCCTCATTTGGAACAGAATGAGTCTGGTTTGTTTTTCGACGATTTGCATATTCATTTTTATAATTGAGAGCTTAGTTTTTTAATTAGTAATTGCTTGAGCTTGGCAGTTCTTTGAATACGGAACTGAAACACAAACGAAGCAACTGGCAACCCTGCTCAAGGGTTATGTGTTACAGCTGAGTCTTCAAATGTATGGCTGCCGGGTGATTCAGAAGGTTTGTATACTGCTACAAGCAATGTTTCCACCCTATTAGTTTAAATCCCAGTCATCTAGTGATCAAAATAACTTCTGCGGAGGCTTAGGAGGGTACTTGTTTTTCTGTAGGCTTTGGAAGTTGTTGAAGTGGAACAACAAACACAAATGGCTTTGGAACTTGATGGATCTATCATGAGATGTGTTCGTGATCAGAATGGCAACCATGTTATTCAAAAATGTATAGAATGCATCCCTCAGGAGAGGATACGATTTATCATTTCTGCCTTTTACGGACATGTGGTGGAGCTTTCCATGCATCCCTATGGTTGCCGTGTTATTCAGGTGCTACATCGGCTCCTCTGGTTTTGCCATCTTTTTTTTATATATAGAGAGATTTTCTTAAATGTGTTCTTGCATATCACCAGAGGGTATTGGAGCATTGTGATGATGAAAGCACACAAAATGCCATGATGGAAGAGATCATGCAGTCTGTGGTTACTTTAACAGAGGACCAGTATGGTAATTACGTAATCCAGGTAACTGTCTATTCATTTCCTGTTCTTTTTTCTGATAAAGGCACTGAATCGTTCTTCTGTCAATCATTTTAGCACTATCTCTTGTGCCTATTAGCTTGTGTATATCTCATAAGTCTTGTCTATTATGACCAAGTTTTCTAGCTTCTTGTTGAAAATATGTATGATACTTAGAAGTGGCTTTATTTATTGTTGCTTAATAAGTGGTATTTGACTTTCAGTCGTTTTTTTTGTTTTAGAGTGTTGTATTATGTTATGATATTCTGTATTGACTTGCCGTTGCCTTACGCTTCATGTTGGTTCATCCCATTTTTGAGAAATAGCTTTTTATAATCCCATTTCTTGTTTTGCAGCATGTCTTGCAGCATGGGAAACCAGAAGAGCGTTCTACTATAATTACACAACTCGCCGGACAGATAGTGAAGATGAGCCAGCAAAAATTTGCTTCTAATGTTGTTGAGAAGTGTCTTACTTTTGGTAATCCTGAGCAACGCCAGATTCTGATCAATGAAATGCTTGGCACAACTGATGAGAATGAGCCATTACAGGTTTGTCAACAATTGGACTGAGCTTGCTTTTTTTAAAAAAAAAGGCAGTACCGGGGTCTGCTGCTGCAGGGTTGAATTCCATGCATTCTAAGTTTCTAACAACACTTGTAATGTGAACTTATGTTCTCCAGGCAATGATGAAAGACCAGTTCGCAAACTATGTGGTGCAGAAGGTTCTAGAGATATGTGATGACCAGAACCGTGAATTGATTCTTTCCCGTATCAAGGTGCACTTGAATGCACTGAAAAGATACACCTATGGGAAGCATATTGTGGCACGTGTTGAGAAGCTTATTGCCGCAGGAGGTAAATAAATCCCAAGACCCAAGGCTACTGAAAACCATTTGTCCTTGTCATTTGATCTTTTGACCACTGACCATTTGCATGTTGGTTGTGTTTCTTATCATCTATCAGAACGGCGCATTGGTGCCCCATCCTCCTGCTGAGATGGCAATGGTTAGGTTACAGAATAACACCTGTACAGACAGACAGAAGATAGCGAGGCCTAGCTTTTTACCATTACCAGTAGTCGGTAATATTGAGCGAGTACAACCGCAGAAGTTAAAAAAGGCTCCCGAATCCTTTGATGTAAATAAAGGAGAGCCTCTGGAAATAAATAAAAAGAATGAAAAAAGATGAAGAGATTTTTCTTGTCCTTGAGGAAAGTTGTATATTTGTATGGTTTATTTTCCCCTCTTGAAGCAGCAGGATAAAGAAGTGCAGAATATTGTGGAAGAAGCAAAGCAATTAGCAGAAGGATAAAGGTTTTAGGATCAATAGATGATGGGAAGCAAGGACAGCTGTAGGTTATCCTTTTTCCTTGGGTTTCATCAGTCATTGTATATAAGTAAGGTTCATGGTGATGTTAATCTCTGTAAAGCCTGCCTTCAGTTTACTGACATTTTTCTGAAATCAAAACAAATGCATGTTTTCTGGTACTAGTCAAATGCCAGCATCTGAGCAGCTCTTCAAATATCAGTTTCTCACCAATCAACGTTGGCATAATGTTCATCAAATGTTGTAGTTAACCTTTATAGATGACGCATCAATGGCATAATGTTCAGAACTTCGTGCAAATTTTTATTCGTGTTACTATATTGCTCAACCAAAGGACATGTATGTATGACACATATTTTAGCCACGTGAGGTGACTTTATTAACAGAAGGGGTCTTATTTTTTTCCCCCAAGGATACATATTTGCCCTTGCTCGGAACATTGACATTATTTTGCCAAAGATAATACTCCTACTACAGGGTATGATAGAGCATGGTTGCCTGTACAAGGCATCAGGTCCTCTGTTTTCAGCCAAGTGAGGGCATTTTGTAGTTTGGACAGGTACATGCTACAAAGCCACAGCCACCAGTGTACACTCTACAGCACAGCCCACAGCATCACAAAAGCAGATGCCCAAGAAACGTATCACCCGCTGGGACCAGCGCAGCGTGTCACCGGCCTTCTCTTCACCCCAGTGGCGCTATGACGCGCATGGCATTCTGGTGCCAGCTACCTCCTTGGACATTTTCAGGAACAGGTCCAGGTTGTGGTGGTACCGGCGGTTTATGCCATCATCTTCAGCTGCCACACTCCCATGGATGCTCTCCGGGGCTGGTGAGTTCTTGGTTTTGCTCACAGCTTCCTCGTCGTCGGACCAGTCGCCATTCTCCATCACATCACGCATGGCTAAGTCCTCATATTCCTCATCCGACTTGGTTGAGTGCTCGTCCACAGAGCCTGCATCTATCTGCAAGTATCCAGAGATGCGAGAGAACATTCAGCGTCATCTTCAATTTTTCAGTGTATTGGTGTGGTGAAACTAGATAAGGAAAAAACAAAACCAAGTTGTTGAACACTGCAAGAGATAAATCGCCCATACCTCGTGCATGTCCTTTTCTTCATCAGTTAGGTCTTCATCAGTTTCAGCATCACGAGGGTCGTCAGCTTCTTCTTCTTCGCTGCCATAGACTGAGTAGTCCTCCATAAGCTGGCAAGGTTAAAGCATCTGTTAGTTTGCCGGACCTGCATATGGCATATCGTTTCGCATGTGAAAAAATCTGAAGTTCTCTATAATAAATAAGGTTGTGTCAAACCCTCTAGTGTTTGCAGTAGATGCTGTAATATTTCCAACAGAAAAGGACACTCAGAGTTTGACGTGCCACTAAAATCATAATTCTGGTAGACCAGGGCATACCTCCTTCGAAGTGGAATCTGACATCTTTGGCGAACTGCAGCATGACGAATAATTTCTACCACCAGTCTCTACGCTATCAGCCCTCAGGTCTTCTACACTCCCAGTATGGCTGGTTCCACCCGTGTCACTCATCCAGGCACTGATCCCAAAAGGACCAAACTGGAGATTGACTGCCTCTGCCTTCCCAATTTGTGAGGCATCCAGCATAGGATTTTCAGCAGACTTCTTGCTGTTTGTGATACCATTAAGATCCCCATTGCCATCACTCGCACCTACATGCCAAGCTTTGGTGACAGAACCGTCAGTGTTAAGGAGTGCCATCAGATTCCTTGAAGACCCCTTCCTTTGGATCAACTGAAACATGCCCTTAGAACCCAAGGTGTTAGCTGCACGCTGGTTCCTGTATTCCTCATCCACTACAGCAACAGTGTTTGTGTTGAGGTCAAACAGTTGCTCCCCGGCTGCTCGCCGGCGAAGACAGCTGAAGACTGTGGCATGTATAGCAGCCACACTCTGGTCAACATTGGTGTTGTTGATCTTCGGCACAAGATGCTTGTCAGCTCGGTTGCATAGGTATTCCTGGATAGCTCTAATATTTCGGATGTATTTGATGTATCTGTTCTTTGCTGGGTCTAGAGTCATGTACTTTGCACGTACAGCAAATCGTTCCATGTGTTTCTCCTCATTTGTAATGTATACCATAAATGGTATTATGGAAGGATGTTTCTTCATTAATCCCATCTGTTAGTTAACAGTAGAAGAAGAGTTTAATCAGTGGCCAGGGGAAATGAGATATATAACTAAATGATGCAAAATAGCATAAACTAAAAAAAATTTATGAAATACCCCCTGCGCTGTTTCTTGACTAATACGTACCACAAAGTTAAGGCTTAGATGCACTCCTTCGATAATCACAGATTCTTTCTGTTCTTCCCAGGATGTAATTAGCCTGTCCAGGCTGTCGATCACCATCTCGCTTTGCGCCTTGTAGCCTTCTACTGCCATTTGCTTGTTGCCAATCAGTTCAGCTCTAGGAGGTAATTCTGAGGATCCTTGCTGAGATTTGTCGTCTGAAGTCACATCTTTGCCTCCACTGGTATTTGGATGAGAAACAACTGTGGGTTTATTTGCCTTGCGCTTTGCCTTTGCCTGAGCAACTGCAATAGGATCTAAATATTCGCCTGCATGGTAGGTTGAGGCATAGAGAAGAGGATTTTGTTTTTCATCTGCAAAGCCTCTCATCATATGTCGTATGGAATCAGTAGAAACTACTGTCGTGATACCCAACCTACTACCCTGGTGAACAAAAAAATAAATCAAGGACTCAGCAATTGTTCATTTCATTCATTTATTTGACGAAAAAACAACAAAGCCTTTTTAGTCCCAAGCAAGATGGGGTAGTCTAGAGTTGAAACCCAACATGAGCGTCATTTCAAAAAAAAAAAAAAAAGAAACCCAACATGAGCGCCACATTCATTTCTTTTGAGTTTGATAAAAAAAAAGTTCTGAAAGCAACTAAACAGTAAGTGAAACTAAAAGGGGTTAGATGCTTCGAAGTTGATTGTTTATTATGGACACTTGTTATTAAGCGTGTGTTTGGATTGGAACCTGAGCCATGCTGTGCCGGCCAGGCAGCAGATCCACACCAGGTGTCTAGAATCGGACATCTGAGCAAGCTGCCTGGACCAGGCTGTGGTGGCCAAATTTACTGGATTGCTGATATGGTACAAAAATTGCTAATCCTGAAATGGACAATTGTTGTAGATGATATTAAACATACCAGCAAAGATGATAAAGTGGACTTGCCACATCCGCTTGTCCCACACAAGAGTATTGTCACCGATTCCTTTCTCTCTTTAATTCTGATAAGAACAGTTGGAAAGGAAAAAAAAGGAAATGTTACAAAAAAAGGAAACATTATCAATTACTTTCAGGTTGCTTTGGAGTGGCTGTGATAAATTGTTGAGGGTTAAATACATTGATTCTGTTACGACAAATATCTTTGACTTAAATAAGGAATGCCAAACATGCATGGAAATTGATGTGATGGATATGTGCATTAAATGGACAGATAAATACAGTTGATAAGCAAGTTGTTTTACCTGCAAGCCAGAAGCAGGTCAGCTTTCTGGTTGGGTCCGACATACTTGTACAAAGAGAGGGCATCACATACAACACTTACAAACACCTCTCTTGAAACAACAACGGTAGTCTGGTTCTTGTATAATTCAAACGGTATGCTGCTATTGCTTCTCTCCAACATTTTTGGAGTATCTGTACCATCTCCAAGGCCAAGGCCAGGATAATTTTCTTGTTTGGTTGCCCCATCTGACTTTGATGCAGCCAAGAATTCACTCTTCATCACATTGAATACTCTCTTGCTAATCTGTTGTGGCAACAAGGATTTTTTTTTAAAAAAAAAGAGGTTTATTACCATAGCAAGTCTAGAAAGGAACAGCAGCTCACACAAGTCTGCAGAGAAGTAGGTATGACAAGTCTTGTAATTGATTTCATACTCAGCCCAATTGGACCGTCAGGAACCAAAGATGTCAACCAGTTACCAGCCATGACCCAATCAGAGCAAAAATAAGGCGCGTCTAGTGGGAACCTGATACCCATTCCAAGTCAATTGCCAGATACTGTCTAGAATCGTGTACCCATCAAACTAGGGTCCGAAAGCAAAAAGATCATGCATCATGGGAAGGGAATACAAAAATGCGTCTACATCACATAACATGGCGTTGTCTTTGTCAATGGAACATAATAATCCCGAGAAAGCAATAGTAATTCACACCAGCCGAACTAACAGGCAACAGTTGCATGACAGTATATCTTATGATGATAGCGACCTCACAAACAAGCAAGTAGTATCACTTGGTGATTAACAAGAACTAAAGTTGGAATTTTTTCGGTTTCCACAAAACGCAAAATTTGAAAGAGGCCCCTCATCTTCCGTCACAGAGACGAAAAGGATAGGGCTTGAGGAGATGGGGATTTTGGATCGAGCCGGGAACAAATCTGCGCATCAGCAGCAGGAGGCTAAAAGATGTCACCTTTTTTCATGTCAAAATCGCCGATCACAAACCACACATGTCAGCTCAACAGTAGACATGCAGCAAGAGGAGGTGATTCACGCCCAAAGCCCCCACAGAAATTAAGCAGCAAGCTTAGCTTTCGATGCAGGGATCTACCGCACGAGAGGATCAGACAGCCCGGCTCAATCATAGTAGCAACCCAAGCTTAAAGAAAGCTAGGAGCAAAAAGCAAGATCACACGCAAGAGGGAAGAAGAGAGGGACCTTGAAGGCATGGCGAGGCTTGCATCCCATGAGATGCAGGGTGCTCTGCAGCACGGGGCGCGTGTACCTGAACGCCCGGCGGCCACCACCGTCGGCGACGGCAATGTAGAGCAGCTTGGGCGGCGGCGGCGGCGGCGGCGCCTCCTCCTCCGCCATGTCCCCTACCTGCAACGAGAGGTGCCGGGAGGCCGGATCAAGAAACGAACGGTGGCCGGATCAGGGGAGCCGGCGGCGACGGGGGCTTGGCGAGCGGTGGACCTGGAGGGCGGGAGGCGCAGAGGGGGGTTTTGAGGCGCATTGCGGCGGCGGCGGGGCCATGGCGGTGCGGGCCGGGGGGGCGGCGGGCGGCAGGTGTCGTCACGACGTCCACGCCGCGTCCGCGCATGGCGTCCACATGGCCGCCCGCGCGCCGCGCGGCCTTGTTCGCTTCCTCGCCCACCTGCTGGCCTGCCTTGCTCGGTGTCCCCTCCCCACCTGCTCTTGCCTTCTCTTCTCGGGATGGGTGGGAACGGGAATTGTTTTCTTTTCCTCCTATACTACTAGTTTCGAGGGTTCTTCGAATTTCTTCCCGCTTCAATGGCGGTTCTGCCACACCTCCACGCCATTTGCGTGAGAGATCTTTGACTATATATACACAACTTGCAAGGCATGTGATTTGGTACGTCTTTGTTGCTGAAAAACGCAACGCGTATGAGAGATCTGGTCTCATACAAAACCGATGAATCGTATTCGGTTATATGTTTACCAAAATAGTCTTACACGCGGCATCCCTAGTAGTTCGATTAGGATGCCTTTGGGCTCGTTGGTTTCGCCGAAAAAAAAAATGAAATATTGTTTCGGTTTATTTATTATAAGAGAAAAATATTGTTTCGGCTGAAAAAGATGAATTATAAAATAAACGAACAGGACTTTGTTATTTTGTTATTTGTACTATAATACTGTCTTCGTTCTAAAAGGGACTATTACAATTCTAGGTTTGGATTGAGTTAAATTTTCTTAATTTATTAAATTTATAATAAATATTTTATTAATATTTATGGCTCCATGAAAATATATATAATTTAATAACAAATGTTAGTATCAAAACAAGCTGAAAAAACGGATTTTAAGAGAAGCAAACAGGGCTTTGTTATTTTGTTATTTGTACTATAATATTGTCTTCGTTCTAAAAGGGACTATTACAATTCTAGGTTTGGATTGAGTTAAATTTTCTTAATTTATTAAATTTATAGTAAATATTTTATTAATATTTATGGCTCCATGAAAATATATATAATTTAATAACAAATGTTGGTATCATTAATCTTACTACTCTTTTGTATAGATTTAATTGAGCTTAAATTTGTTTCACTCCTTGAAGTGAGATTTTTTTTCTTTTGACAGAGGAAGTATATAATGCTACTAGGCAAAGTAGATATTTAAGCTTATGCATACATCCAAACAGGCAAAGAGACAAAGGTTAGCTAGTTTCGCAGTTGTTTCATGTCTGCTTAAGTAAATATAATAAGGTTTTGCTTTGGCTAAACTCCCAAGACACTACATAGAATTGTATGTCGGCAATCTGATCTGTTCCTGGCCAGAGGTCAACTTGTCATGGGCTTAGTGGTACAGATGGAGCATAGGCTTAGGATGTGGCGACTGCGAGCTGCACAACGTGACGACCACCCTTGTTTGTAGCCTTGTTTAATGCAACGACAGGGACAAGTGACAATGTCTCTACTATTACCAACGCGGCTAAGTAAAAGAAGAAGAAAAAACACTTTTTTGACATGGCTTGTAGCTTAATCCCTAGATGTTAAGCATCTAGGGACGACGTTATTAGCTTGTACTAGCATTCTTTCTTCTATAAATTACAAATTATAGCGTAGTACCAACTAGATAGATTTTTCCACTGGTTTCTAAGAATACACTTAGAGGTACATCCAGCGATTAGGGCTTGTGGGGCTCAACAATTGCCCTTGCCACAATAAAATTAAGTAGGCGATGCAAGGACTCTAAGAAGTTATTAAAGATAATTTTATAGGATCTTTGATTTGAAGAATGAGTGAGTCGATCATTTTCTTATTCCACTTTTTTGTTTGGTCTACCAAATGAAATAGGTTGATCTATCATCATATCGTTTCTCGTAAGCAGTAAGTAGTACTAATATAAGGAATGAAATTATTTCACTAATTTTAAGAAATAAACTCATAATACACCATCTCATTTTAATTGGTTTGATTCCACAAACTAAACATCTTGGAACTCTCTCGATGTGATCCAAAACAGTGCTCATATTTTTTTTTGCACATCGAGAAATATTAACAGATATACTGATTCATGAGTGCTTCATCATACATATAGCTTTATTTTGCATTGAAAATTAAATGCGATAACCTTGAGATAGATACGTATAGATAGCATGGGTTGGCCCTCGCTTGTTTCCCTTTGCTTTTTGCGGTGCGTGGCATCGAGTAGCGTTCCCTAGCCAACAAATGAAAATGAAAGAAATGGACGATGGAGGTGGAGCCGGCCAGAAGTGGTGGATGCGTGGCGTTGGTGGGGTCCCCGCCCGTCCGGCGCACCGAAGCCCAGCCCAGCACTAACAGACGGCGTCCGCGGCGCGCCAAAAAAACAACGGTCGCCGCGCTCCTCCCGGGCACCGGCTCGAGAGGACAGGACATGTCTTTTTTTTTTTTTACGCCTAGCGCCTGAACGTATGGTGTCTGGACACGTCTGGACACACCTCAAAAAAAAAACAGCACCCACTTAAAGAATCAGCGTCGGCATATGTGCACGTGTCGCCGTCCGCGGCCTATCTCCTCCACACCTCTATCCCGCCACCGTGCTGCCATCTTAAGCGCGCTCCGTTTTGAAACACTTGAAATATGCTTCTGAAACATTTGAAAAAAACACATAAAACGCACTTGAAAACCATTACGCAACATCCAAATAAAACACATGCAACGTATGTGTGAAACATATGCAATATCCAGATAAACACATTTGCATCATTTATTGCCTTAGTGCCCTTAAATGATTCTTTCAACTTCTTCCAAGCTTCATGAGCCATTTCGATGTTCTTGATTTGTTCAAATGTTCTCTCATCAATAGCATCATGAATAGCACTAAGAGCAATGTCATTGTTTTGGAGAAGCACTTCTTCGGCCACGGTGGGATTCTCCGGATCTGCTATCTCAATTTTGATCTCCACCACCTTCCACACTCTTCTATTGATTGACTTGATATGGGTGGTCATCTTTAACTTTCAATAAGGATAATTTGTGCCATCAAATTAGGGTGGCTTCTTTGTGTTGTTGATTTGAACTATTTTGACACCGAAGGTTGTTAAGCCGCAAATTACGGTAATCACGGCTCTGATACCACTTGAAAGGTCCTAATGGCTAGAGGGGTGAATAGCCTATTAATAATTCTACAACAACACTAAGGCAAGTGATTAGTAAATAAGATAGCGAAGCGAATTTTACGCTATCACTACACTTGTGTTGTAAGCCACCTATCCAATTCTAAAATCTATTATCTCTAGTATATCACAACAAGGCTAGGTCACTAATTTACACCTAGGTGAGCAAGCTAACAAGAGAATTACAACTAAGAGCTACAGTAACTAGTTTCAATTACCACAAGCTCTACACAAGTAAAGGCACAATGTAATACAAGAGAGTGGTAGAGAGGTATACCGCCGTGGCAAGTGATCAATCAATGAATACCAAGGAGACAATCAAGACACAATGATTTTTTCCTCCGAGGTTCACTTGCTTGCTCGGGGCAAGCTAGTCCCTGTTGTGGCGATTCACTCACTTGGAGGTTCACGCGCTAATTAGCATCACATGCCAAATCCGCAACCGAGCACCGCACAACCAACACAAGATGAAGATCACACAAGCCACGAGCAATCCATTAGAGTATCTTTTGGCTCTCCGCTAGGGAAAGGTCAAGAGCTGTAATAGAACCGATCAATTATACGAAATTAAGTAAGAAAATCATCCGCTAGAGCAGATGATTTAGCAAACTTAAGCCCGTATAACCCGGTAGTCCGTGAAATCACGAAGGATTTCAAACCAACTTCCATTCCAGCCAAGATCGTAATAAGTTTAGCGGTCACCATCACATATTACATAAAAGTTTGCATCTCAGATACATCAGAGTTTAAACATAGTTATTACAAAACAAGTTTGAATAAAAGTAGCGTAAGTCATTTGTTCAAACCACACACACTCATACGGAGTTTAAATACACTGCCAGCGAATGATCATCTCCAACAAAAGCATTAGACGAGACATAAGGAATGACCATGCCCATGGTTCTAAGCATCACCCATCGTAGGATAAAGGCAGTTGATACAGTAGCCGTAATACATCTGCCCATCTGCAACAAGTGGGAATAAAACCCTGAGTACGAGAAGGTACTCAGCTAGACTTACCCGACATAACCGAAAATAAATGACACCAAGGATTATGAAGGCTTTATAGTAGGGTAGCTGACTCATTTGCAAAGAAAGCATTTTTAGCATTTCAAGAACCTTTCTAAAGACATTATTGTCAAGTTAATTAATTATAACCTGTCGACTAAATTTGTACCTACACTAGAGCAAACATGTGATTAAGCCAATAATGATAACCAACGATCATTAACAACTTTCATACTGTCATATTTATTATAACTTTTCCAATGTTCCATCAACATTACTACGATGAAGTCACTCAAGTCAAGTGCTCACTATCTAGGAGCGATGGCGATTCGAATCGATTCCTAACCAGCTGGTGATTTATTCCTTACACAAACCTCACTCACCCGCTAAAGTGAGATATTGATCACCGAGTTAACTTTCCAGGTATCTCGAGTTTGCCAGGAACCACATGTACCTGGGGGCCGACCGACTACACTTTGGTCTTATCATCTCGCCCCCGTGTCCTACCACACCTGCTCCGGCACAGTGCGCTGCGGGCAATCTACTCGGCCTAAAAAATCTCCCAGCTTCGTGGTCGGAAGGTACTTTATCCGGCCAGCTAAATGTAAGGCATACGTTCAACATGACTCGAGGCCCAACAACGGTCGGTCCTTAATCGACACAGACGGAAACACTACAGTCCCAAAACTCTACAAGTCTCCGTCCGGTCTCAACTTCATTTAACACTTAGTTATACCATGACTTCATAGTCATCCAAGCAGATCCAGGTAACCACCTATAGCTCGTAGGTGACAGGAAATCACCCGACTTCTACCGGTCTAAGCCAGCTAAGCATTGACTCGACTGTGGATACCAGGGTAACAAGGATATAGTATAACAAAGGTAAACAAGGTATAATGCAGCAACG